GGAAAGGAAAGAAAAACGAACAGAAAACAAAACAAAACAAAAAGAAAAAAGAAGGGTAAAGAAAAGGAACAGAAAGAAAAAAAAGAAAAAAGCCCAAAGGGCCAGGCAAGGGAAACAATAAACGTGCAGGTACATCTATCAGTTTAAGCCACTCGATAGGGATTCCTGGTCTCCATCCATGCAGGATGTATAGCCATCAATCTCCAATGAGGTTCAAACTACTGCAAGTGTCCCTCCAGACGCCTAAACTTTGATACATCGCCATCCCCATCCAACCACCAAACCCTCTCCCACATTCAACCCGCACATACACACACACCGCCAGCTCTGACTCTTTGATAATGAATAATTTCTTCAGATGCCGCGGTCAAAAAATAAATAAAAAAATCAATAGCAACTAAAAAAAATTTCCCCGACGTCAGGGTGTAATACCCAAACTAGTCGTATAATATTAGGAAATCCAGGGGACAGGAGAAATATCAATCCTTGGGACCGGTGGAGCCCAGACGTGCACAATTGCTTGGCCTGCCATGGTTCGATTTCCCATTTGTTCCTGCTGACTAGGTTGCTGCGAAAGAACTCCCGTTCAAGAGAACCATGGAAACACTGCATTACGATTCCCTGCTGTGTATGTCCCTTGTACTAAAGGACCGGATGTGTTCCTGTACCTCCCGTCCCCCCGAAAACTCCCAGGAGGATGGTGGAACTCGTCCCGAATTCAATGTCAAATGGACTCTACTTTGATGGAGGGCCGAAAATAACAATGAACCACAATAGGTCGCTTAACTTTTTTTTTATACTAATGCCAATACTGACACTAAGATAGATACCGCTCTTAGGGCTTTTTATGTCTTGGATCGCCCTGGATATTTTCCCGATCGGACCGCCTTTCAACTCCTCCGTGATTGGAACTATACTCCAGGAGTAAGGTGGTATTTCCACCCCGAGACTCTCTTTACACTAACTACGTAGTCTCTTTCTGAAGAGGGGCCGTTGCTATAAACAAGTCCATCCGCCCTAGCCTACCGAAACTGAGAATTTAGCATAGCGGAGTCTCCATGGTCTGGAGATGGCTTGCCTCTCACCATGATTGGCCAGAATTCCCCTTGAGGGGAGTTTTTCACGGAACCAAATGGTAGACAGGCACTGGGGACTCCATCGTCAACCCTCCAATGGAGTTCCCGAAGGAGGGCATCTATGTAGGGGCGGGTTCGGCCGAGGTAGAAAGCTAATCATGGTACTGTATCATGTCTGTACATACAGTACGTTGTCCACTGAAGGTAGGAAAAGGATCAGGAGGACATGAACTTGGTGATATCACCCAGAGTCAGGGTGCTATTATTATCTTCTCAGTATCTGACCACCCAAATTGTGGATTATTATTATTCATGATCATAACATTTTTACATACTGGAAGTCTTGGCTGGTAAACAATGATCACTATCAGGGTCCCAGTGAGAAAAAGGAGGTGGTGGTGTAGATTCCAGATATGGATAGAGCTGTGGTGTGATCGTTGCTCAGTTTACAGAGTACACTGTGCAGAGCCCTCTATTATCTGCATCGATGTTGCCAATAATGCTTATAGTACGGAGTACGGAGTAGTTGGGAACGTTTGATCCAGGCTATGCCGATCGCCAGTGGATCTCAATGATACTCGGGGAGAGCCATCCAATTTTCATCTATGGACAGGGAATGGATGATCGGAGAGAAATCCGAACAAAGAAAGGAATGGTTCACCAGGTATAATTGACAGTTCACTGCATTAAGAGTCAGGGATCAAGATAATCAAAGAGCATGGAATCTTCCAGTCACTGAGGCAGCATGCAACCAAGAGTTTCTCTTTCCGAATTGAACCGTCCATGCCTGGACAGAAGGAGATAAACATTCCTGTTGATGAACCATGAGATGTACTTTAGACGGTTTCATCATGACTCACAGCGTATTAAGTACCATGTAGATCTAACTCAAGCGGGATCTCCCTGCGCAAACTTGGGAATGACCATCTACCCAGAATTCAACCAGAAAAGGCCTTTGGCCATGAGAATCCACAGACGGTGGGACAGATCTTCAGTTACAGGACTGTGTTCCTTACATGACGCTACTCCCATACCGGCCTGGTCGACCTGCATTGGCATGCATCATACTCCGTACATGGTCATCGACATCTTTGGTACGTCCGCTGAGGAAGAGCGGGCTCATTGTGAACTGCCGCTGGTAAGTGGCCTAGTCTTGTCGCGCGACTAGTGCCCCCCGCTAGGATGGGCTACTTGCTGTCATACAGAAAGTGCCTTGCAGCCTTCACTCCATACAGGCAAGTCGGGTGGACTTTTGGCTCCGTTGGCTGGTTATGCGCGGTGGAAACGTGCACCACTGACAGCTGATAAAGGGGGTGGTTGGTGCCTGAGGCGGGTATCTCATCTCCTGTTTTGGGGAAGCGGTATTGTTGAATTGCTCATAAATACCGTACTGTATGGTATGTCTTGCTACGACTATCTCCATGCCTCTTGGTGGAAGCATTAGGGTTTTCCCAGAAATTGCTCGAGCCATAGATATCCAGGAATAGCTTCCTCCTGAACCATGCCACCGTTCACTTCCCAAGGCCATCGGCTTCGGGTGGGATTTTAATAACCACGGTACTGACGATACGATCCGTACATCCTGACACCTTTTTATAGAAAATTGAAAATGCAAAAATATCCGGCAAGGGGTTCTAGACTGCTGACAGAGACAAAATACCGGTTTCATGATGGATGTTGCGGTCAAAAAGAGACCAATGAGCGTCTGCAAAGATTGTTGTCTCTCGGCTTCTAGACGTTGTCTGAGTTTATCGTCAGATACCTAACTTTCCCATCGTCCAAAGTTCTAGTAAGGCTTAGTCAACCCCACGTCACAGGGCCTCGACAATCCATCCCATCATATCAGAGATAAGTACAGAGTTAGGTACACGCATCGGATATCTAAATTTGGACAAGGCTGGCGATTTCCCTTGCCATCAAACTGCGCCGTACTTTTGGCTGCTCACGGCTAAGCCAACTAGTTCCAGCCTCCTGTTTGTGCGTGTAACTTAACTACCGCAAAGGAATTCAAATGTGGCTGCGCCTACTCCGTAGATCGGTTGCATCTGTGGCACATCTGGAGCTTGGCTATTCGCCCTGGAACAATCCAAAGCTTATCTCGCTAATTGGTCATCTACCCATATTTCGAGCAAACTTTCCTGAAGATTGACGATTCCCTAGAATGCGCGTGGGGGTTACACCGAAGGATAACCAGGTTAAGCTTCGTAAATATTATGACCGTCTTCGCGTCAATAAGTTTCCGGTCGTCAAGAACCCTTTATCCCCCATAGTTCCCCTCCACTCGATGGACAATTGCCCTAGAACTGCCCGTCCGTCATGTTTTAGATCTTTCTGTAGGGCATCTAGCCCTTCCTGCTGTCCTTCTTCTTGCTCAACGAGGAACGCAACCTGGAGGACGTCACGTGGGTTTAATGTCGGTGGTTGTGAATCGCACTGATCCGGCCTCTCAAGATCCCAGTTCAAGGAGGTTGCCTTGAACGGAGGTTTAGGATTCAGTTTTGTTTGCTATCGAAAGCATTAGAGTCCCCGGCATCAAAATAAAAGGAAAGCTTTTTAATTTTTTACCTTCACCACCACAGCTCCATCACCCACATTCTCTAACTGCGCTTCGAGGGCAAATCGGAGCAGCCGAGTCTTTCCATAAGGCCCTAGGGACTTGTTTTCAACCTCTAATGGGGCTAATTCGGATGATTTTGTCCGAACACTAAGACAAGGCTGTGCAACAAACTGATAAAGTTTGCGAAAAGTTCTCACTCGCCCACTGGCCGCTTGCGAGTCTGATCCAATCAGCGTTTCCGTGTAGCTGACACTGACCGCCAAGATATGATTCCCTTCTTCCTTGAGATCAAATCGTACGATCTTCTGTAATGATTGCCCTTTTTGTAGGCCATCTCTCGCGGGCGCGTCATCTGCTGGCTCTAGCTCCAGAGATGCTACTTGGGATGGAGTTTGCATCTCCGCCACGATACGGACTGATGTGACAACGCGCGAGGTCTCATCTTCTGCGAGCTCATTGTTCGCACTAAGAGTGCAAGCAAATGTTTCTCCAACATAAGCAGACCCAAATGCAGGAGGTAATGTAAGCTTTGGTTCTTGTTAGCAGATACTCGTAATTCTCTCGTCGAAGCGAGAAACTTCTCATTGCTGTCGTACATTAGGGGCGAGAATAAACTGTTTGTCCACACTATCGGAAGGATAACTCAAAGATGCTTTGTTGGAGATCTTCGTGTTTGCTTCCGGAAGGGGGTACTGGTAGGACAGAGAAGGCCGCGATAGGCTTTTAAAGTCAGATCGGCAGTTAATATCTACAGGAACGCATATTGCTTACCGCAAAACTACGCATATGTCAGTTAGGGTGCTGCCTATGATGGCTACTAGCAGTGCGTACCTTTTAAGGAGACTGAATGAGGCTCTTTGGAGGCCTCGGCACCTGAATGGGCGCGTGGACGTGCCATTGGCATAAGATGGTGAACTAGCTATGATTATGCAGCTGACGGGAGTATTTCAGTGTTGTCAAAAGTATTGAATGTTGTCCCTCTATCGTTATCAGCATGACATGTGACGGACAAACATGGCAAACATGGCAAACACCACAAACCTCCGCATATGATCTGTGGATCAGTGAAGGAAGCGATAAGAAAAGAAAATTGCTTTTCTGATTTTAACCTTCCTTTTATACCCTTGAATTGCCCTCTACTTTATCTCTCTATCTTGTAAGTGACGTGTCCGTATCAGTACTACAAGAAGCGCATCCAGAGCGTCAATTACTTTGTTTGTATACCGTGGGAATATGTCAGCCTCCTGAACGGAAAAGCTTATCGCTATCGCTATCGCGATTGCTGCAGGACCTCCACAGCGACAACTCGTTTGTGCCAACAATAGTCGACACTCGGATCTATCGTCTTTAGTACTGTGCATAGCCTAGTTATTCAAACAGAATGGGTACTGCGAGGACATCATCCTCCAGACAACAGATCACTACTGCCCCATCACCTGCAGACCATACTCGAATTCCATACACATCTGCGTCGAAACGAAAGCGAAACGCCGACGAAAAGGCCAGTGTCGCATCCACATCTGCGAAACGTAATCGTAGAAATGGGGGCGATCATCCAGCGATTCCTACGGACCCGAAGGATGTGATCGATTTGACTAGCGACTCGCCTGTTGCTAGTCCACAAAAGAGGACCTCAAGTGCAAAGACGAAGCAATCACCAGGCGAGGGGATACCTGAACGTCGGGCTCGAGTCTTTCGCCGTAAGCCACCACAAACGTTCTTACAGCGATTGAACCGTGCAACAACTCAGAGGTGTGCCATCAACCCAGATCATATCTCGATTCTTTCGCTCACAGTTGATGATGTTTTTTTTTTTTTCTAGGATGTTCGTCCTAGGACATATTGTCACGGGCGCTGACGATATTCCTGAGATGAGCTTTGACATTGCTGGGACAACTGGAAACATCTACAAGACAGTTATCGGGAAGGAGCCGACCTGCACCTGTCCGGATGCTCGAAAAGGAAATCAATGCAAGCATATTTGTTACGGTAAGTCGAATTTAGGTGCTATCACTATTCCTAATACTACTATTGTTTCAATTGTATCATTATTGTCGTTCGTATGGTTTCTGATAGCCGTACCCGCGAAGTCCTAGTCAATGTCCTCAAAGCTCCGCAACACCTACAGTATCAGTTGGCATTCTTATCTATGGTAAGCTGTTTTGCGTACATCTCCGTACACTTCATAAACTAACACTGCTTCTTCAGGAGCTTCGTGAGATCTATGAAGGATCTTTTCTGAGTCGTGAGCAGACCAAAGTTGACGATGACAACGGTGGTAATAGGAAGGCCGTTGAAGGAGATTGTCCAATCTGCTTCATGGAGTTTGAACCTGACAGAGAGGAGATCGTCTGGTGTCGAGCGGCCTGCGGAAATAATATCCACAAAACATGCTTCCAACAATGGGCTGTCTCACAGAAATCTCAAGGTGTCCGCTGCGTTTTTTGGTACGTTGCACATTCCTTGTTTATCAGATTGGGACTAAGACATCATCAGCCGTTCCCCATGGGAAGCAGATACCAGCGACGTGAATTTGGAGCATCTCAGAGCCCAGGGGCAAACGACTGCAGAAGGATACATCAATGTGGCTAGTCAGCTAGGCCTTTCCGGTCAACGCGGTACGAGATCATCTTTGTAGTCACCCTGATCATCCATTGTACCTTGTTCCAGACACATACTGACACTCCATCCCCTAGACTATTCGACATATCATCCTTTCTGGGTCTCCCAACAATTGTATCCTTATGGTTCGCGTAGACGCAGACGTTAAAACATTGACGGAGATGGGGTCGTGGAGTACTAGCCATCCGATGCATAGCCCACTAGGGTTTTGCAGCAGCTGTGGTGTCCAGTGAGAAGTTTGTTACCTATTGGAAGTTGTGTGGGCGTTTGAAATTTATTGCTTTTCAGGACTGGCTAGATACCCGGAAGTTATTGTTAACCAAGAATGTTATTGGAAAATACTATGGAATTTGACAACACACATGTTTTGTTGGTTTGGAGAATCCTTAGCCATATGGCGCGAGTACTAGGCACCCGCTCTCAAACTCACAGCCCTTTCGCTGACTATCCACCCGTTCACTTTCAAAGATAAGTCTCCACCGTATTACCTTCTTCACACCATGGCGGTGTTCGAAGTCTCGTCGTACGCGGTGAGACCCAAACCCTTGTCAAGTGGATGCACATAAACAAGGACGAAAGGTGACCCTTTCGCGGATCGCAGGCTGCATGATCTGGGCCGCGCACGGTCACTTGAACGCCTTTCTATACCGTTCAAGGCGACTCCCGCCGGAATGGATGCGTGAACCCCAGCTTGTCGCGTCATGCCACGGGGAACGTGAAAGTATGCATTAGGTCGATGACCACCCCATTTCATCCACTATCCTTAACCACACGATGCCCTTGACGAATGACGGCAACGCTGACAGCCTCTTCACCCGTCATCCAGGAAGGCATTCTCTCTGGGTCAACGACACCCAGTTCGGCGAGCTTTCGAACCCCACTGATAACATCCGAGCCGGCAAACGTAAGCGAGAGGGACGGCTGCGTGTGATCTGCATCGCTATCCTCCTCATCCCCATCTCCATACGGGCGGTCCAGAAGCCTAACGTCAAGACGGTCCAGAGGTGCAGATGACAGAGACCCAGAAGTGCCGAAGCGCGAGTGAATGGCCAGCTTGCGCTTTTTCGGGATGTGAGTGTCCTCTTCTACGTTGCGAGTTTTTCTTCCGGGTTGGTGTGTTTCGTTTTCTTTCTGGTCTTCTGGGGGCTGGTTCTTGATTTTGTCCGGTTTAGTTTGGTTCAGGAGTTCCTCCGGGGAAACAGTATTCGCTGGTCGGGGGTCCAGCGGGCTCCCCTCTACCACGGCATCGGCGAATATGCTGAACGCGCCATTCGCTCCGTTCGAGCGACCTGGTCCTCGAAGTGCTAACAATGCTTGTAGACTCTTCGCTGTCAGTGATGTCGCTTTAAGGGCGTATCTTCGCTGAGGGAGAGATAGCGCTTTCGGGACGGCGTCGCGCACGATGCGCTGTAAACTTCGGGCATCTGTCGCGACCGCATTGGCGGGAGAGGCTTTGGAGCTTGTAGAAGACGCAATGGACGTGTAAACGAAGGGGCAGCTATCGGGAAAGGCAACATATATCACTCTTGACGAGTCCGTGAGCGTCTCAGGTGGCTGGCGAGGATGCTGATAGGGCGAACTGGTCACGAATATACGGAGGAAAGTGAGAGGCAAAGTATTCGAGCGAGCGAGGTAGTAATGCGCCTTCACCAGGGGAGAGATTTGCTGCTGAACATTACTAAGGAAGGTGGAGGCATGGACACGCGGAATATAGGAGGAAACGTCGGTTTCGGGTGATTGCGCGCCATCCGCATCAATGCGAGTGAGCTCCAGCGCCGTCCATCGCAAACTTGACGGGTGGTCGTCCATGTAGCGAAGATCAATCATTGCGAGCTGGCGCAAGGTGATACCATGTTTCCAGTCGCCCTCGAGTATGCGATCGATCACCTCTCGTTTCCCACCCTTGCGCACCTGGAGCTCCTGGTATGCATTGCGCACGTCGTCGATGGTCCGCTCGGCCGGGTACGGACCGAGTTCTTCGTCGTCCGCTGCTTCGGCTTCATCTCGTGCCAGGAATGGCGCAAAGGACTGCACATTGCGATCGTCCAGCCAGTAGAACACGAGGTCCAGCAATGCCTGCCGGGTGAGCTTCCCGAATGACTTCACCAGCGATGGCGTTGTTGAGGGGATGCGGAGGTTGCTGGGAAGACTCGCGGTTGTGGGCGCGCGGACTGTCTTTGGACGCGCCATTGGTTCGGTCGCCGCTTCGTGTGGCGTCTATATATGCACCGAGCTCTTGCGCATTATCCCGCCAGGGGCATAGGTGTGGTGAAGATGGACTGTGGAGTTGTTCCACCGTTCAACAACTTCATTTGCACGGGCCATCAACAAGACGCAATCACGTGATGATAAGAGCACGATCAGTCGTGATAAGATGCAGCTGTATTGTTTCAGCTACATCGGCAATGCCAAAGGTGATTGATATTCGACATAAGAATGCATAATGTGTATGACATATCTGCGTAGGCTCAAGCTGACATATGTCGCTCGGTACTAGAAATCTTGAGTGCTGCTTTGCTCCGTGATATTAAGCTTGATCGTGGTTTACCTCTGCATCTTATCATACTGGATTCAAAGGCAATACACAGCTTTTAGCCAAAAAAACATACGATGGTTTGTTTCAAGTATGCATAGCAAGGCTATGACTTTAGAACTGAGCTTTCAATTGAAGGTTTCTCCAAAGCCCTCTGGATGACGTGGTAGATTCTTTGCAAGGCCGTTTCAGAGTTTCTGCTGAACTCCACATGGTAATCTATAGGATTAGCCGTGCGCATTATCGAGAAACTCTATAGCTTACCTAGAAACAATAGGTACCTCCTTCTTTCTATTTTTTGCCTTGCTTTTGGGGTTCTGATAGAAGCCTGCCCTGGGATCTAGAGGTACGGGGCATTCCAGACGTCAGACAAGGGTTTAAGAGTCCTCCTACCGAAAGCGACACCGCAGATGGAAATCTGTTTGTTTAACTTCAGCAGTCTATTTCTGCATCGGACGCAGCTACAAGTGTTATGGAATGGTCTATGGCGGATGAGTTAGATATGATTAAAGCTTTGCAGCTGTGTAGATTGCACAAAGTCGTCTATTGTAGAATGTTGAAATACCTATAGGCTGGGATATAAAACGTAAGAAGCCAAACAACAAACAATCCATCTTTTTTTTTCCACGTTGGAGTGGAGTCTGTACCATCAAGGAACGTTGAAAAATCATCACTCATGCCTCCCACCAATCTCCGAGACGCCTTCCCCGGTCTCCTAATGCTCCAAATTAAGTATGAACAAGAAGTAAAAACCTGAACATAAACACAATGACATAACGCCATTCAATCAACATAATTTTACTTGGATTCCACTCAAGCAGTGCCCACACCGATCCTTGACTCAGCACTACTCCGTTGGCCTTCAGCCTTTTGCGAAGCAAGGAACTTCTTGAACATGTCCGCGATGTCATTTTCTGACTTTTTGCCTTCCTCAGATGTTTGCCCATTCTTCTCCGTGATCAAGTTCTTCAACCACTGGTTCTCAAGCTCCAAGGCAGTGACGCGGGCTTCGAGTGCAGTATTCTTCTCCGTCGTCTCCTTGACCGTTTTCTCAAGCGCCTGCTCACGCATCTTCTTCTTCACACGGAACCGCGCACTGGCAGCAGTGTTACGCCGACGCTTATCCTCCTCTGCCGCGACCCGCGCTGCCTCCTCCACACTTATAGCAGCCGACTTCTGGGTGTTCTTACGCTTCGGTCCGGGGGCGGAAGAAGAGGTAGCGGAAGCGGGAGCGGGGCCGGGGGTCTGTGATTGGCCTGCAGGCGACGGCGATGAAGTCGAGATAGACTCGTTCGGGCTGGAGGCAGCATTAAGGGGCCCGTTGGGCATCTGTGGGACAGTCGAGAACGGCGCATTTTGCAGAGATGGAGGTTGAGGCTGAGCATTGACGGAGTTGAAGCCGGTAGCTGAGTACTCGGGCATGTTGTTAAAGCCTTGAAGGAGAATTAGAACATCATCACTATCAAATCAAGCTAGCTATTGCAAGACCGAGCTGGTGGTAAGGTAGATGATCTCGTGAGCCCAATGCGACCGTGGAGGTCATGTCACGTGAAATGACGCCATAGCGTAACGGGTTCACGCTATCAGGACCCTTGCTAGTGGCACAGAATTTTTTTTAAATTGATCATCGCTTAACAGGGATTGAATGCAGGCATGATCCAATGAGGATACGTGCAGATGGTGAGTGGCTTGGAGGATGCATCTATGCCTCGAGGATCCGAGACAGGTATGGTGCAAACGTATGGGACCATGGACGCCATGACGATACCACGGAATAAAGGATGCACATGGAGAAAGCAGGAAACGTGCGACAGAAACAACAGAGGCTCTTGATGTATGGGAAATCAATCCGGTGTAAAGGGTGTAAAGGAAAAAGGCCCGGAGAAGCTCCAACAAGATGCGACCGACGGTTCCTCCAGCTCGGGTCCAGAAACAATAGAGACAGTATAATCTATAAAGGAATTTCCAACTTACCACCGAGAAGATCCAAGAATTCCATATCTGGGTTCTGGCCAGTGGCTTGGTTGTTTTCCTTCTTCAAGTTGTCGCTCTCCACCGAGTCAAACCCGGGGAGGTTCAAATCCCCGAAGTTATCAAAATCAAAGAACTCGGCATTGGTGAAGAGGGAGAGGTCTGCATCGAGGTTGTATGAGCCTTGCTGCTGCTGAACAGCCTGGTCGTATGGCGACGGGATGGCGTTCAAATCGTCGAGGTATTGGGAGAAGTTGGGGGCCCTGCGGCCATTGTATTCGGCCATGGTGTACCGTTGAGGCTTCTGAGACCTCTGTGTTCAATATTCCTTTCCGTTTTCTTCTTTTCTTGTGTTTTTGTGTTCCTATAGTCCGCTGGGGAGACTCGAGGCTGGTTGAGGGAAAATGACTCGACCGATATATGATTCCGGAGCGATAATTCTCTCTTTCGGTGATGGCCGCCTTAACCGCGTACAAGTCGAGAGGGGTCGATTGGCAATTGCGAAGTAAAATGACGGAGGAATAAGAAGTAAGTATGTATGGCTAGTCACAGAAAGGCAGGGGGAGGAAAGAGAGGGGAAACAAGAAACGATCGAATGACTGTGGGAACGTGGGACCGGAGAGGGTCACCGGGAATGGAATTTG